CTCCTACGCTCGAGCGTAGGTGTAAATTCTGGAATTTCCAGATTTGTTCTCCAAGTTCAAAACTCAATCTTTAAGCATCAAAACTTGATTTTTCTGGGCCAAAACTTAAGGAACTCTTAGAAACTCACAATACATCATGAATTATGGATCTTTTCAAGAAACCATGGCCAAATAGCTTGCCAATTGTGCAAAATTTCAACTTAAAATTTATGCATGACCCATGAACATGACATGCATGAATTTCTTCGAACTTAAGCTTCTCAAAACATGATCAAATGCTATAAAACAACATGAAACTTGATCATTTCCCAAAATAAAGGTGAATTCAAGACATGCATGAGGGAATTCATGGAAATTAAACTCAAAATGTAAGAAAATATGCATGCATGCATGGTATGACTTAGTTTTCTTCAATTCTAGCTCAATTCCTACTTGAATTCACTTAATTCACTTGTTTTCATACATTAATCAACTACATTACAAGATCAAAGGCTAATTCTCTTACCTAAAGTTTGAATTGCACAAGTGAGGGAGCTTCAATTCCCAAATTCTTTGCAAATCTCCAATACTTCTTGGCAATTCTTTCCTATCCCAACTTTTGATCTCAATTGCCTTCTCTCTCTCACTCTCTCACGTTTTTCTTGTATGAGGGAGCTCAAATATGTTGAATGAAGAAGGAGGAAGGAATAAAGGCATATGAGAAGCCTTATATTGGCTCACTTGAAGATAATTAAGTAAGGCTAAAAAAAGTGGGCATTAAATTAATCTAATTAATTCATTCTGAATTGGATTTCAATTGAACCTACCATAAAATTCTAAAAATTCTAATTAACACATAAATCAAGTCAATTTTTGATTCGGATGCCGATGAGGCCTTCAATTCACAAACCGAAGCGAAAATATGAACAGATCTTTCTACGTTAAACAGATATAATCACAAATAATGCAGCACACAAGTAATTAATTCAGAATTTGAACTCAAGAACTTATTAGGCACATTAAGCATGAATTAACATTAATCATGGGTCAAGGTTGTCACAGTCTTCCTCCCCTTAAAGAGTTTGGTCCTCCAAACTCGAATTATCTTCATTTCGGAAGAATATCGGGTCCAAGGGGAATAGTTCAGGATATCTTTTCATCATGTCTTCTTTCGTTTCCCAACTTGCATAGGTTCCTCCATGATTCTGCCAATCGACCTTTACTAACAAAATTTCCTTGTTTCTTAATCCTTTGATTCAGCGATTCACAATTTGCATTGGCCTCTCCTCGTATGTATAATCATCTTTTAGAAGTACATGAGTTGGCTTAATCACATGTAGTGGATCTCTTAAATACTCTTGGAGCATAGATACGTGAAAAACATTATACATCTGCTCCATGACCGGAGGCAAGGCTATTCGGTATGTTACTGAATTGATCTTTTTAAGAATTTCATATGATCTGATGTACCTCAGTGCTAACTTACCTTTCACTCCAAACCATGTTTGCCCTTTCATTGGAGTCACTTTGATGAACACATGATCCCTGACTTCGTATTCTCTATCTCACCTTCGAACATCTGCATAGCTCTTTTGGTGGCTTTGTGCAGTTTTTAACCTCTGTTGAATCAGTTTCACATTTTCAGTTGTTTCTTGCACAAGTTCAGGTCCTAACAATGGTTTATCGCCTACTTCAGTCCAACTGATAGGAGAACGACATTTCCTTCCATACAAAGCCTCATAAGGAGCTATCCCAATACTTGAACGATAACTGTTGTTATACACAAATTCGGCTAATGGTAAATAGGCCTCTCAATTTCCTTGGAAGTCTAAGACACACATCCTTAACATGTCTTTCAAAGTTTGATTTGTTCGTTCAGTTTGGCCATCTGTCTGTGGGTGGTAGGCACTACTCAATCGCAATTTAGTTCCCAAAGCTTGTTGTAAACTCTGCCAGAATCTTGATGTAAACTTAGAATCTCTGTCAGACACTATAGATACTAGTACACCATGTAATCTCACGATTTCATTGATATATATGTTAGCTAACTTGTCTGCATTATAAATAGATTTGACGGGTAAAAAATGAGTAGACTTAGTTAAACGGTCAACAATGACTCAGATAGAATCCAAACCTCGGGAGGAGCGAGGTAATCCCACAATGAAATCCATGGTAATGTGCTCTCATTTCCATTCCGATATTGGAAGCGGTTGTAACAAACCAGCAGGTTGTTGATGTTCAGCTTTAACTTGTTGGCAGTGTAAACATTTAGCCACAAAATCTGCAATACCCTTTTTCATTCCTGGCCACTAGAAATTCTGCTTCAAATCATGATACATTTTTGTATTTCCTGGATGCATAACAAATTTGGAATTGTGGGCCTCGGTCGGAATGCGTTTCCTCAAATCATCACAGTCTGGCACACAAAGGCGACCCTGAAATTTCAACATATTGTTCTCAAGTACAAACCCGAGCCTTGGTTTTGAGTCAATTTCATCCATGATCTTTTTCAGGAATTCATCTTGCGGTTGTTTCTCTTTAATTTCTTCAATGATTGTAGGCTGAGCGGAAATAGCAGCTAAGATTCCACCTTGTTCATGCATCACAATCTCAATTTCATTCTTTTCCAAGTCACATAACAATTTCTTCTGAATAGTGAGCAAACATGACAAATTCCCAATGGATTTTCGACTCAATGCATCTGCAACGGTATTTGCCCTCTCTGGATGATACAAAATTTGCAGGTCATAATCTTTAATCAATTCTAGCCACCTTCTTTGTCTCATGTTCAGTTCCTTCTGGGTAAAGAAGTATTTTAAGCTTTTATGATCTATGTATACTTCACAAGTCACTCCATACAAATAATGACACCAAATTTTTAAAGCAAAAACTACGGCGGCTAATTTAAGGTCATGGGTTGGATAGTTCTTTTCATGAGGGCGGAGTTGCCGAGAATCATAAGAAATCACTTTCCCTTTTTGCATTAATACACACCCCAAACCTTTGTAGGAAGCATCACTGTAAATTTGAAACCCATCAGTACCATTAGGCAGAGTCAAAATTGGCGTAGTTACTAACCTGGTTTTCAACTCTTGGAAGGCAGACTCTGTTTGATCATTCCAATCAAATGAGACATTTTTCTGAGTTAACTGGGTCAATGACATAGCAAGTTTTGAAAAGACTTTCACAAATCTTCTGTAATAACCAGTAAGTCCCAGAAAACTTTTAACTTCTGTCATGTTGGTTGGTCTTGGCCAGTCGACAATAGCTTCAATTTTATGTGGATCCACTGATACACTATTCTTGTTAATCACATGTCCCAGAAATGCTACACTGTCCAGCCAGAATTCATATTTGGATAATTTTGCATATAGCTTCTTTTCTCTTAGAATCTGTAACACGGTTCTCAAATGATCCTCATGATCTTCCCTGCTTTTGGAGTAAATCAAGATATCATCAATAAATACAACAACAAATTCATCCAGATATGATTTAAACACCCTGTTCATAAGCTTCTTTTCTCTCAGAATCTGTAACACGGTTCTCAAATGATCCTCATGATCTTCCATGCTTTTGGAGTAAATCAAGATATCATCAATAAAATACAACAACAAATTCATCCAGATATGATTTAAACACCCTATTCATAAGATCCATGATGGCAGCAGGTGCATTAGTCACTCCAAGTGGCATTACCAAAAATTCATAGTGACCGTATCTAGTTATGAATGCATTTTTCTCTACATCTTTTGCCTTAACCTTTAACTAGTGATACCCGGATCTAAGATTAATTTTAGAAAACAATTAGGCTCCCTGAAGTTGATCAAACAGGTCATCTATTCGGGGTAGAGGGTATTTGTTTTTAATAGTTACTTTGTTCAATTCCTAGTAATCTATACATAACCTCAAAGATCTATCTTTCTTTTTGACAAATAGGACTGAACTGCCCCAGGGTGAAGTGCTCGGACAGATGAATTTTTTGTTTAACGGTTCTTGAAGTTGAGTTTTCAATTCTTTCAATTCTGTGGTTGGCATTCTAGAGGGGGTCTTGGAAATAGGTTGTGTTCCTGGTGTTCGCTCAATAGTGAATTCAATTTCTCTATCAACTAAGTCTCCATGTAAGTCATTCAGAAATGCATTGGGAAATTCACAAGCAACAGGAATAGTTTCCACATTAGCACTATCAAATGATGCATTCAATATACAACACAAGTAGTCCCGACATCCCTTCCTAAGCAATTTAACAACTTTCATGGCCGAAATCAAGTATGGGGGAGGAACTACCCCATTTCCAGTAAAAATAAATTCAGGCATACCAGGTGGTCTAAACACAACAGCCTTACTTGCATAGTCAATGGTGGCACGGTGTTTAGTCAACTAGTCCATACCCAGAATACAATCAAAATGATCAATGTTCAAGGGCAACAAGTCAATATACAATGTCATATCACCAATCACAATATCACATTCCGGACAAACATAAGAACATATCGTAGAATCCCCAGACGGTGCAGATACAGATAACACATATGGCATAGATTCTAATGGTCTAGTTAATTTTCGAGAGAACGCATGCGATACAAAAGAATGCATAGCACCAGAATCTATCAGTACACATGCATTTTGAGAATATATAGGGAGTATACCTGACACCACAACTTCGGTGTTCTCTACGTCACCAGGCATTAAGGCAAACACCGACCTTGTCTTAGAGGTTCTTTCCCAGTATGAGTTCTAGCATTTGTTTTTGACCCAGAAGCTGATCCTACTGAACTTGCTATAGGACGATTGGTATTCTCTGACCCAATTGGACAATCCCTTGTCATGTGGCCTGTTTTGCCACACCGGAAACAAGCACCCTATACCTGATGGCAAACTCCTTTATGTCTCCTCCCACATTGAGTATAAATAGGCGTATACCCACTGCTTTGACTTGAGCTGCTAGAAGATCCCATATTTTGTTCCTTATTCATGGCAGTTGAACGGTTCTTCTTAAAACTGAATCCAGATCTTTAGCCTTTTCATTCAGTTGTTGAGGCCGGAGCTTTCCTTTTTGCTACCAAATTGGCTTTTGCCATCAATGCTTTATCCAATACATTCACATACGTAGGTAGGTTGAGGACTCCCACCCGATCTAGTATATCTAAATCCAATCCACCCTCAAATTTGCGGGCTTTCTTATAGTCCATGTCCACCATGTGAGGAGCAAATCTAGCTAACTCAGTAAACCATGCCTCATATTCAGCTACAGATATTCTGCCCTGTTTGAGTTTCTGAAATTCTGAAACCTTTCGATCCCGGAAGCACTGTGGAAAATACTTGTCATAAAAGATCGTATTAAATTGAGCCCATGACATATTTCCATTACTGTTTCGAACCAATAACCACCATCTCTGAGCTTCGTCTTTTAGAGTGTAGGTGGCCAAAAGAACTTTCTAAACCTTGGAATAGGGAAATACTTCAAAAAAAATTTCTATCTCCAACAACCATGTTTCAGCCTTTAACGGTTCAATACCACCAAGAAAGGTTAGCGGTTTTATTTTCATGAACTTCTGAGTTAGATTGATAATATCATTGTTGTTTGGTTCAACTTGTACCAGTAGAGGCGGATGAGGTAAAGGTTGTTGCCTCTGTTGTTACGTTATTACCTCAGTCAGAGCTGCAAGCATTTGTTCCATTCTGTTCATTCGGGCCTCTGAAGACCCTGTTGTATGATCACTTCTTGTATTTTCCATTGCTATAGGGAAACAGAAGGGCAATAAACATAGGCAAATAGTCCTTTTCATAATGTTCAGAACATTCATTCTCAGTTTAGTCAATTCAATTTCATGTGTTTATGTTCAGGTGAAATTTTCCTTATGTACAAAAATTATTACATACTCACACATGTGGATGGAATGTCCCTAATTCTTTCCTAGGACATCCTATAGCTCGTATGGACTCGTGCGTGCGGTTTGACATGTGCTTTGATACCACTTTGTCAAGACTCGAGCCCGCCTCTATGGGTTTAACGTCGTAACCGGCCAGTAATCCTTAGATTACCAAAGGCCTCTGAACAGAATAACATAAGATAAGGGTTGTGGAAGCAAACATACAAAATTAACATAGTCCATATTCCATAGAGCTGTGCAGACATACATGGGACATAAATTTTCAAAATAAACTTATATATATATACAAATGTGACATCAAAATACAATAGTCTTACGTCACTCAGTTACACAGATAGGGTCAAAGGGTACTTAGCCCAAGTACATACATACAAAACAAGCTCAACTAAAGCCTTGACGTAATCCTCTCAAAAGGAACCTCCTCAAGAGGTACGGTAGTTGGCTGACAAACCAGAAACATAGGCCGTCAAATCTGGGCCTGGTCACGTGCCTGCTCACCTACATACATAATATAAATAGTGAGCTGGAGCCCAGTGAATAATAACAGAGCAAAGAGGTTTAATGAATGTTGTCCATAACAGTTACAGAAAACAGAATTCAATAATTGTCAGAAATGAATTCGTGATTATGTTCAGAAATCATAGTACATAACAGATACAGTTTCAGAGTCGTAATCATGATTAGAATTTGCAATTAATCATATGTGGCACATTCATTAGTACTAGCAGAAACAGTTGACCTATAAAGGGACGACTATAAAGGCACACAGTTGACCCATAAAGGGATGGCCATAAAAGCATACAGTTGACTCTCGTGCACGGAGACAGCACAGTTGGCTCATGAGACATACAGTTGGCCTATAAATGGGTCGTATACATAAAGACTCATAATAGTCGGCTCATGAGACGTACAGTTAACCCATAATTGGGATGGAATAGAACAGATAACAGATGTCATTTGAAGCTAAGAATGCCACGAATACATTTCAGAAAACATTTGACAACCATTCATTCATACAGAAAATAATATTTTCAGAAAACAGATCATCTTATATCATTCGAAAAATACTTATAAATCGAACATAGCTTTACAAAGTTATTACTTACAGATAACAGAGGCTCCAAGGTAAACAGACAGAATAAGCAAATTAGATGTCTAGCGGCGCGTGACCTACATAACATAACAAATGCATACATTGAAACAAACGCTCGAAGTGTACATAACTTATTTCATTGTTGTTAGTGTACTTCTAGCCTTTCTCCTCATTATGGTGTCTTAATCTTGGCCTAGGAATGCTTAGGAATGAATGAGGATGCAAAAATGTATTTGAAAACATTTTTCAAAACTTGTTGAAAACAAGGTCCACGTTGGAGCGTGGCTTTTCTCGCTCGAGCGGACATGCAAAATCTGAGGGTCTACTTGAGCATAGCTTTCTTCGCTCGAGCGGTCTGCAAACTTTTGACAAAAGTATTGGTTGCTTGATTTTCACGCTCGGCGGACGCTCGATCCCTGCTCGAGCGTGAGACTCAGATCTTCGCTCGAGCGTGACTTTTGTCACTCGAGCGACCAGCAAAACATATGAACTTCTGGGAACATACATTTCACGCTCGAGCAGGCTTCAGGTCGCTTGAGCGAAAGTGCATGCACTCAGAGTGGTCGCTCGAATGTGAACTTCTACGCTTTAGCGTAGGTGTAAATTTTGGAATTTCCAGATTTGTTCTCCAAGTTCAAAACTCAATCTTTAAGCATCAAAACTTGATTTTTCTGGGCCAAAACTTGAGGAACACTTAGAAACTCACAATACATCATGAATTATGGATCTTTTCAAGAAACCATGGCCAAATAGCTTGCCAATTGTGCAAAATTTCAACTTAAAATTTATGCATGACCCATGAACATGACATGCATGAATTTCTTTGAACTTAAGCTTCTCAAAACATGATCAAATGCTATAAAACAACATGAAACTTGATCATTTCCCAAAATAAAGGTGATTTCAAGACATGCATGAGGGAATTTTTGAAAATTAAACTCAAAATGTGAGAAAATATGCATGCATGCATGGTATGACTTAGTTTTCTTCAATTTTAGCTCAATTCTTACTTGAATTCACTTGTTTTCATACATTAATCAACTACATTACAAGATCAAAGGCTAATTCTCTTACCTAAAGTTTGAATTGCACAAGTGAGGGAGCTTCAAGTCCCAAATTCTTTGCAAATCTCTAATACTTCTTGGCAATTCTTTTGTATCCCAACTTTTGATGTCAATTGCCTTCTCTCTCTCACTCTCTCACGTTTTTCTTGTATGAGGGAGCTCAAATATGTTGAAGGAAGAAGGAAGAAGGAAGAAGGAAGAAGGAATAAAGGCATATAAGAAGCCTTATATAGGCTCACTTGAAGATAATTAATTAAGGCTAAAAAAAGTGGGCATTAAATTAATCTAATTAATTCATTCCGAATCGGATTTCAATTGAACCTATTATAAAATTCTAATTAACACATAAATCAAGTCAATTTTTGATTCGGATGCCGATGAGGCCTTCAATTCACAAACCGAAGCGAAAATACGAACAGATCTTTCTACGTTAAACAGATATAATCACAAATAATGCAGCACACATGTAATTAATTCAGAATTTGAACTCAATAACTTATTAGGCACATTAAGCATGAATTAACGTTAATCATGGGTTAGGATTGTTACATGTAAATATCTTATTACAAAGAATCTAAACCCATTTAATCCCACCTCAAAATAGTTGATACCTACTTTAATTTCACATTAAAATCACCATAAAATCATTTTTTCCAACATAATTTTCTTATATATTTCAGGTTACAGACTATAGCTAGGCTCAAATATGTTATTTTTGATCATTTTTGACTTTTTTATGTAGCCTTCAGGGCCAGCTTGTATGCTAAGCCAGTAAGGCAGTGCCTTTAGGCCAAATTTTCAAGTAGGCCTCACATTTTTTAAATATAATTAAAAATCATTGAGAAACATTTTGGTACACTTTTCAAAAGGGATATATTATATGCACCTCATAACTATAGAAAGAAATGACATAATTTTATAATTTATAATTTATAAAAAATATAAAAAAAATCTCAAAATAATATCATAATTAAAGAATAAAATTGGTCATAATTAAAAAGGAAAATAACGTAATTACGGGTGTTAAAAATATATCTTTGTTTGTTTTAATAAAAAAATTCTTTTGAGAAAGGCCTCTATGCAATCAAAAGTAAAACAAATAAATAAAAGTTCCCCACTGATATGCATAACACAAACTCTATATTTGAAAAACGATTCTAGTAATTTGGGTTATATTTTTAACACGCACTTCTTATATATATATACATATATATTGAAAATCTACATTAAAAAAGATAGATGAGTTTTGAAAATCTACATTAAAAAGCATCTAGTATAGTCTTTACTTTGAATCTATCCATTCCATATATATATAGACAATTTATGACACTTTTTATCTATTTTTATTTCATAGTCCTCGTAAACGATTTAAATAATTCTTGAAATCAATAAATATTATAAAAATTTATATTTAAACATAAAAGGCCTTTTAATGAAATTTGTCCCTGGCAATCTTGGCTTGATTTGGGTTGTGGATTGTGATTTGGTCACCAAACATTATTTGATATAAATTGAACTTGAAGTCTTTGAGGCTGTTTAATTCTTTTTTAGTAATAAAATTTTAGAAAAATTGTTCTCTTGTCAATGTTGTTTATTTTTTTCTTGTATTTTTCTTATTCCATACATTTTCGTGCATTAGTATACTTAATAAATATTTTAAATTTTGACTTGAGGGGTTGCATCCCTGAAGTTACCTGGAAGAAGAAATAGAAAACTTGAAATGTCAATCCATATATATATGGGAAAATGAGTAGCATACCAGTTCAAATTGACCCAATTGCTAAGTCATATGTGACATTTGGGTGTATAAATGCAGTGGTGAATGACAGCAAATTCATGGAACGGTTTGACAAATTGTTGGTAAAATAATAATTTTGTTGATATTTCAAGGTCATTGAATCAGGCCAAAACATTCATATTCGATCTGAATTTTAGGTGAATTCTATTGGTCTCCTAACTAAAAAATTTATTGTATTTGAAAACATATTAACTACTTAATTTCAAAGTTTAAATAAATCCGTTTTGAATTAATGTTTCTCTACGATATATTCTAACTTCTATTTTTCACAGTTTCTGACTTTATGTAATCCTAGCTTGATTTGAAGCATGAATTGTGACTTACACCAAGCATTGTTTGTTATAAATTGAAATTTAAGATTTTACAACTATTAAGTTCTTTTTCAGTAATAAAATTTAAAAAAATTATTCACTTTTTTATATTGTTCTTATTTTCTTTGACTTGCTAGTTCATAAATATTTTAAAATTTGACTTTGAGGGGTTGCATTGGCTTTAGGGTAAGTGTCAAACTTGGAAATGGAAGATTTTTCTGAGACAAGTTTCAAGGAAAATAATTTTCGTCTTTTGCTGGCAACTAAGCATTTGAAAATCAGAAATTTAGATGAATTTCTCTGCTTTTTAACCCTAGCAAACATGTATTGGTTAGTAAAAGTCAACATATATTAGTAAAAGTCAACATATATACTAATAAATTTTTCAATCCTTTGAATGGTGAAGAAGGAGATCCTTGAAGTTGTCACCACCTTGGCTTCAATGGACAATATGGTTTCTATTACATGTGACTAGGAACCTCCTTCGTGGAAACTCACAGGATCTTTTGTATCAATCTCTTTGAATCCTCTATTCCCAAAACACAGAGGACTTGATTGGGAATATATTTTAGTTTAAA